TTTGTCGTATGACGGACGCAGTCCTTGGCGAGGCAGTCCGTTCTGCGAGTCGTTGCGTCGATAGAACGCCGATTATCTCTTCGAAAATTGAGGGCGCGGGAGTTGTGAAACGTGAATTCAATTCGTCGAGTCTGTTTACGTGCGGAGGAAAGGATTACATGGAGATTACGTCACGCATAACGAAGCGTATGTCTTACTTTTCGCGTGAAGAAGACGACCAGTACGTGAGAATATGAAAAACTCGCGGCTGCAGGTTTCGCCGAATTACGAACGTTCTCTGTAAATATTTCAATTAATACTCCGGTTTAGTTCCTTTCGAGTATCCCGCTGCGTAATTATGACGAACGTATAGGAGATCGAGAGAAAGGTCACCGTCCCTGAGAACAAACGTCTCCTCTTAGAATTTATGACTCCGCGCTGAACAGTAAAATTTCCAGAGACCGCATCTTGACGGAATTCAAGAATAAAGCTTGATTGGCACGTCGGACAGTTGGCAACGTTAGGGATAAGAAAAACGTCGGTTCAAATTAATGTTACCGATATTTTCTGAAATTAATTAATTGGGGCGACAAAGAGCTAAGACAAAAAAAAAAGAATAATGCGCCACGCGTTTCCGGCTGAAAAATACTTATCGCTCGTTTATCTTTAAAACTTCTCTCATAAAACGCCACAGACACCGAGACTGTTTTATTATCAGAAGCGTCGCATGTAAAAACCAAGTACCTCGGGCTTGGCCCATTTCCGATAATTATCGCGCAGCTCGGCGGATTAATTACGCGCGCGCTGGCTCTTATCTGGCGCTTATCGGCCTCGCGCGGCTCCGTCCACCGCGTATTTGCCCCACGTGCTTTCGAAGTCGCGCGATAAACCGGGCGTGCGACTCCGGTCGCGTTTCCACAAACGATCGCGCCGAGCGAGCAGATTACTTCTTTCTCCCCCCGCGCGGCGACCAGAACGGGACGAAGCCGGAGACAGGAAACTTGCGGGAATCCTGTCCTCCGGACATTCGAGTCTCTCTGTAGGGTACCGGCCGTCTATTTATATACGCCCGCGGTACCAATCCGTCCAACCGAGCACACCGGCCACGTTTCCTTAAGGGGATGCTGGATACCGACGTGCAGTGTGGTACAGCTATCTTAGAATTGGCTTTACTGCTTTCAAAATCCCTTGATATACTTACAGTGTGTACAAAAATACATTGCCCGCTGGTCAGTTTAAGACTAAAAACGAACAAAACTTACAAAATATTTCTTGGTGTTGCACGTGAAGCTCAGTCAGTTTAAAGGAACGTTCGCTTGTATACAAATTATCAGGGTTGGAAAATTACTTTATAAAAGTATGTAGTTGCAGTTAGTTTCTTCGCTAAAAATGTAACTAGTTACAGTCACAAGTTACCAATTCTGAAAAGTACCGCGTTACAGTTAGAGTAACTTAAAAAGTAACGAATCGCTACTTTCGTGTTGTACAAGAAGACTGGTCTCTAGTCTTCTTCAGTCTTCTTGGTGTTGTATCCCAGGTAGCCAGCTGACGTGACTTGTCGTCATTTTGACGTCGAAATGTCGTCAGAAATGTCATTTTGACGACGAAATGACAACAAGTGCCGTCAGCCGGCTACCTGGGATATGCATAGACGTTTCCGACACATCTTTATATGCCCTGGGCTGAATGACAATATAGGACGTTAAATTATCGACAATTTCCAAGTTCAGCCGTCACTCCAGGATCCCCGTAAACGAGAGCTCCGCGCCGCGGTCTCGTTTACGTTTTATTATTTCGCCCGGGTTCTCCGGCTCGTTTTCCATGCCGGGAACCCGTCCCGCCGGCGCGGCGCGGCACCGCGATTTTCTGCGCGATCGGCGTCTCGCGAGGAGAACCCCATAATGACGGCGCTGAGAACGGAACAGCGTAACGGCCGCTCGCTTTGCTCGTCTTTTACAAGCTGGATTTTAAAAGCGCCTCGTTCCTCCGCCTTCTCTCATCTCGCCTTTCCTCGCCGACCCCCGTCGCCTCGACGCCGCGGAAAGTATCACGCTTCTCGGGGTCGCGCTTTTAATTCCGCGCTGCGTTAACGTCCCTCCCTTTTCCCCCGTCGCGGTGTGGAATTCTCGCCGCGGCGCTCTGGAAAGTGGAATACGCGCGAGCGACCGCGAAATGATCGGCATTAATCGCACGAAACTAAACGACGACCGGTCACGTTGAGAATCTCCTTTCTTCTTTCCCCCGCGCATTCTTCCGCGTGCGCTACGCCCGACGTTGGGGTGAGACGAGATAACGTAAGGAAACGGTATCTCGCTCATCTTTCATGCGTCTCGGAATCTCATTCATGTTTCAATTGGAAATTGAGGGAATGGACGGTGTGTATTTTTCCTTTATTTAATCCGTAAATGCATATAGGCCGGTAATCTTAGGCTGCATTTCGATATTCACTCCCTACCCAGTGAGAAATGATTCGTTGATCGATGTCGAAACTATATCGAATCGACATCGATACCGTCAAATTGATGTCGAGTCGACATCGTTTCGACGAATCACCTCTCACTGGGTAGTAGCTCAGTGCATGGACCAAACATTGATTAAACATTGGCTCAGTGCAACCAAATATTGGGCCAATGTTGAATATATTTGCAAATAACTGCCTTTAGATTTTCAGTACTGGCAGTGAATATCGGAACGCAGCCGTCAGATCTTATATTCAAGACAGTCTTCCCAGCGAGAAATGACTCGTCGATCGATGTCGAATCGGCATCGTTTCGACGAATCATTTCTCACTGGGCTGAATTTATCTAAAGACGGAACATTTCATTGGTTATCGAGTGCCTAAGACGACCTTAAGACGGTCTTGAATATAAGATTTGACTATGATTATCGGCCGTAGGGTTTTTGTAAAAGGAAGGGCTTCTCTAGAGGCACGCGAGCCTCAGATTAATGATCCCACATTTGTCCCGAGATAATACGTTCTATCGTACACATCGACGATGTATACGTTATTTATGCTTTATTATTATAGGATATCTGGTTGCGTAGTCACATCAAGAATGAATGTTTTCTGTATCGTTCTAACTGCTCTATCTTATTTCCTTTTCTGTTGTATCGCGAACTTTGTAGATTTAAGTAGGCTCGAGCGGCTCGTGCAGTAACGACGGGTGAATGGGATTAGCGGTTGGATCGCCGAGTCTGATGAAAATATGGTCCACTTAACGCAAATGCTCCCAAATGTTCTTCTTCTTCCTTTAGTAAAAGGAAGGAGAAGGGGAACGCTTCCAAGCACACGAAAAACAAAATGTAGCTGCCGTAGCTAAAAACTACATGTGGTAACTAAACTTTAGTTGTAAAATAAGGACAGCTGATGTTTAGTTGCGATAGCTAAATAGTTTGCTACCGTGCCGTTTGCTGTGCTTAAAAAATTTACAATTGTGCCGACAAAATATCTTTAGCAAACCATGATTAGCTATGGTAGCAAAAAATTTTGTTCCGGTGCATTTGTAGCATCACGTGGACCGCGGTCTATAAGTAATATATAAATAAATTTCGAAAGAGAAGTGCTCTTCGTTCGATTCGTCCACCGGTCTGATCCACCCGCGGCTGCTGCGCGTGGATTAATATTGCAATTAGACGAGTAGCTTCACGGCACGAAGCGTAAAATGGATAGGCGAACGACGGGGAAATCGAAGATCGCGAGGGGGACAGAGCGAGGCTCTCGGGAGTATCTGCGTGCGTAATTCTCGATAAAGCACCAGTTTTTATTTCGCTGAACTTTTTTAAAAGGACTCACGAATCACAGAATTTACACCTCGAATTTGCGTCGAGAGGAAGACACGGTTAAACGGGGACCACGATCTAACGTATATGTATTTTAAGCCTGCGAGATTAGACTTTCTAGACTTTACTGAGAAGTACAGTGCGGTTGCATTAATTCGCTTCGCGTCGTATTGTCAAAAGGCATCCATGTTTAAATAATGAAGCAATTTTTGTCCGTCCCCAATTATTGCCCGAGCCGAATTAACGCCCCGCACTGCACATAGATATATGTAAAAAGATATGTATACATAGTGGAAAGTCTCCTATATATATATATATTACGCGGTA